TTATTTGGCAGCTAGACCATAATTTTACAACTACGTCAAGAGATTTTCCTCTTCAGAAATATTGGTCCAATGCTTCATAATCATATGGTGGCAACAAAATGCCAGACATTAAACACACAGCACAGTAAATGTTATGTTTGACACATAATGTTTCAATTTCCTTTTAGACATGTGAATGTGCTAAGGCTAAATTCTTTATCGATGTCTACAAATTTCCTAAAATTATTACAATAAGAAACTATTGTATTTTCTTATTTTGGAGTTGAAGTCAAAATGTATTACAGAGAACGAGGTGTCCAATAATACAGTGAAAAGCATGCATATTGGTACAGTGAATTGAGATTTGTCATTTTTACTGTGTAAAACTAAAATTGATATTTCAGGTCAGAAGATAAATACGAGGAAAAGGTATAGAATATAAGCCTTTATTTCTGCTTATTTTGCACATATTGTACATGTTTCAAGTTTCAAGTTTCAAGTTTATTGTCATTACACTCATATACATGGTATATGGTATAACGAAATGCTATTTAGCTAGCTCTCGGACATAAGTAGTACAAAGAGAAAAAAAACAACAACAATACAATTGTGTAGCAAAAAAAAGACAGAGACAACAGGCAGTGTGCAAAAAACAACAACAGACGATGTGCAAAAAAACAACAACAGGCAATGTGCAAAACAACAAAAAGGTAACATTGTAACAATGTGCAAAAATATGCATCAACAGAATAAAATAAAGGGATAGAAATTATGGGGAGTGAGCTTTTGACATGTATGGTAGAGGTAGATTTTCAATGTGTGTTTGGGTTTTTGTTAAGAAAGAAAGGAAGAAGGCACTGTGAGGTTCAGATCATAGGTGAGAGTGAGAGTGAGAGAGGCTGGGAATTTTACAGTTTGATAGTGCGGGGGTAAAAACTGTCTCTGAGTCTGGTAGTCCGGGCCCGAATGCTCTGGTACCGTTTTCCAGATGGTAGCAGATCATAAAGTCTGTAGCTGGGGTGTGTGGGGTCTTTGATTATGCTTAGAGCTTTCCTCAAGCACCATCTGTCATAAATGTCCTGGATAGATGGGAGGGTAACCCCAGTGATGGACTGGGCAGTTTTCACCACCCGCTGTAGGGCTTTGCGGTCAGCAGCACTGCAGTTGCCATACCACACTGTGATGCAGCCTGTCAGTGTGCTTTCTGTAGTGCATCTGTAAAAGTTAGTGAGGATCTGGGGACATATCTTAGCCTTCTTCAACTGTCTTAGGAAGTACAGGCGCTGTTGCGCTTTCTTGATCAGACAGGTGGTGTTGAGAGACCATGTGAGGTCCTCGGTGATATGGACACCAAGGAATTTAAAGTTACTGACCCTTTCCACTTCAGTCCTGTTGATGTGGATAGGGGCATGTCCGGTTTGCAGTTTCCTGAAATCAACGATCAGCTCCTTGGTTTTGCTGACATTGAGGGTGAGGTTGTTGTCATCACACCATGTTGTAAGGAGATTGACCTCCTCCCTGTAGATGGGGATAGAATTGCAGAGCTTTGGCGTATAGCAGGAGAAGGCCCTGTCACCCAGATGTAGATGAGCTTGTGGGATGAACAGGAGACCAGAGTCAGGGGTCGCAGTATCGAGCCATGAGGAACAAAGTGTCTTTGCAGTAAGTTAATGGTTAAACCATCCAAGAGCTACCGTATAACAGGTACTCCAAAAACAGTCTAAAAAGTACTAACTAAGATGTCATGGTTAACAGTGTCAAAAGCAGCACTGAGGTCTAAGAGAATAAGGATAAATAGGGAACCACAATCATAAGCAATAAGAAGATCATTAGTGACTTTGACCAGGGCAGTTTCTATGCTGCATAATTCTCTGAAGTCAGATTGGAAGTGGTCAAAGAGGTTATTTGTAATGAGACAGTTGTTTAAATTGCAACAGCACATTCTAAAACTATCACAAGAAAAGTTAAGTTGGAGTTAGGGAGAAAATTGTTTAAGTTTTTCAGAACCATATTTTTTGGACACAGAGGTACAGTAACTGCTCAAAGACTTTGTTTATTGTGTTGAGGACAACAGAGCAGAGGGGAGAAAAGCAGGATTGAAATGAAGCAGTAGGAATGGAATCTAATAAACAGCTGGTGGATTTCACATGCGATACCTATTTACTTAGGCATAAAGCGTCAAATTGAGGAAAAACTACAGAGATGGGAACCAGCAAAACTAGGGAGGGAGGAGGAACAGTGGAAACATACATTGTGGAGAGAATGTGATGTTGGATGTTGTCAATCTAGGAAGTAAAAAAAAAACTTTAAGAAGGTTTTGCAAAGTTGGGATGAAGCAGGTAATGTAGTGGGTCAGTTTGGCTTTACTAACCTGTCAATGGTGAAGAACAGGTATCTAAGATTGTTATGGTTGCGCTCAATGATGCGGGAGAATTAGCTGGATCTAGCATACTCTGTTGCTTCCTTGTAATCAATCAAGTACTCCTTCCAAAACTGAAGATGTACATTCAGACTAGAAAGAGGCCAGCTGTATTCTAGTTTGTGGGTCTTCATTGAATGTAAGTGGTCAGTATACCACGGTGCAGAGTGAGTAAAGGAGATTCTTCAAGATTTAAGAGGAGCTTAGGTGTCAAGAGAAAATAAAAGAGAGCTGTTGAGCACATGTACAATATCTTGATTTCCAGAGTATCAGAGTTAAAAAAACAAGACAATGAAGAAAGAGCAGAGTCAGTTACCCTTTAGTAGACTTGTCGATTGCCAAATGCGAATACTTATAGAGCAATGTGGTGAAGAGTGTGAGACAGGTACAGTATCTAGGTACCTGTGCAGATAGGCTTTTGTTGTCATTCAATCTTTCTAAAAAATAAAACAACAATAAATCCAGTCCCTGTATGTTAGCATATCATGATACTATATAATTAGCATATCGATAGCCCTTCCAAGTGCTTTTGACCAGGCATAGCAGTTGCTCATTTATTTTCTGTATTTCATTTTTCATTCCAAAATGTTCTGCACATTATTATTTCTCTAAATCGACAGTATATTTCACTGAAACATGGTGTCAATTTATATATTTTTTATTTTATGAGTTTAGCTTCACCCAGTGTGACTTGCAAACCAGTACTTTGTTGTAATTCACCTGTAGCAAAGCTGTTTTCCATGGTATACAACAATGTATGCCCCATGAGTAATCCTGCTTTCATCCACAACATTTCAAGAGAGTGCTATCACAAAAGACATATTTATTTTGACAGAGCCTTGAATGCAGTATGTATATGAAACCATGCATCTAATTATTTTTCAAATGGGTTCATTTATAGCAGACACAGAGTCCAATGTAGCTTGAAATGATGTCCTCTCAGGGGCAGCCTTGGTGGATGATTTGCTAGTTGATTTTGCTTGTAGATTATTTCCTGGTGCTGCAATTTCTACTTCATGCTAGCACATCTGCAGTCTATCTGTTGTTGCAGCACATTTATTTAGTATAGTTTTGATTTCATTAACCTGTCTGTCAGGAAGTGTGTGTTAACTCTTTTGAGTTCATTATTTTAAGCAATAAAATCCATAATACTACAATATCATAACCTGCTACTGGCAGTAATTGCCACCAATTTGTTATAATCACAATCATCAAATGGCATTTTATCTGTTCATAGCCTTGTGTAGACAGGGTTAAATATTGATAATCATTGTTCTTTTTATGTTATGCTCTAAAAGATAAAAAATAAAAACAAAACTGGGGCTAAGAATTCAACCTCAAATGTGCCTGTGTGTATTTTGCATTATGGATAACAAAGCATAAAAAATGACTTTTACCTTACACTTGGCATAGAATTAGTCAATAACTCTATCTTTTTTAGAATCTTCTATTGGTCATTGCTTGCAATTCAGTTAAAAAATGAAAGTGCCCTTTGTAAAAAGTTGCAGAAAGCTGATGATAGATCTGTACAGTAGTTACTCTTCAGGAATACACAAGTGCTGTCTGTATAGAAAATGCAAACTCAAAATTGTTCAGAGAACAAAACAAAAAAACAACCACTAGGTTATGTACTGAAAAGTTTTATGGCAATGAAAAAAATGTTTTGCACATTCTATTACAGCTGATGACACCTTTGAGTATACATAGTCTCTCTGAAACACTGGACACCATAACTGCAATTAAAAAAATAGTTTTATTTATTTACATTAAGTAAATAATATTTACATTTGCTTTTGATATTTGATGTTTTTTTTATTATTTAAAGAAAATGTATTTGACGTATCATGTGCTGTAAGCATTTCATTCTAGTTTTATTTTGGTTTCTTTCTTCTTAAAACGCTTTGTATTTTAAGTGTTCACAAAAATATAAGCCATCTATTTTTGCTGCATTAGAATTCAAAGCAGGTCAATAACTGAGAGAAGTAGGTCTTTGATCTTTAAATTGTGTAATTAAATTCCAAATCTCTGTTGAACAGCATACTTATATGTCCACATTCATTTATGTTGTAAGTTCTTACATTATTGAGTAACTTGCATAAAAGGGCCTCAGATTAATTTACTTTGCATATTGATCTAGTATTGGTTACATTGTGTGGCTGGGCCTTATTTATAGCAAAAGTTATCGATGTAAACATTTGTCAATGAATTGCAGACTTTGCCTGTGTTTCAGCAGACAGATGTGATATAGATCAGCTTTGCAGGACAGGGCTTTATGTCAGTGATTCGCTCAATTAGCATATTGGGCTGCAGGTGGAGTGCCAAGGAAAGAATCGATGTTGTAATAAATCTGTAGAGTAAAGAGTGTCTTTACCTAATAAAACATAAAACAGCTATAAATGTGTTTGGCATTTAGAATTGTGTGTTTTATAGTTGATTCCTGAATTTCAATTTTATGTCCCCTGCATAGCTCTTAGAAAAAGGGATTATACACAATATGAAGAGTTACTTTCATTATAACATTTAAAAATGTTTACATTTTAGGACTTCAGATGAGTTGTGACTTAGAGAAACCATTTGCTGACATTTGCTATATCTCTTTTAGGTTTTGAGGGAGAAGACTGCTCAGTAGACCTGGACCTTTGTGGAATGGATTTATGCCACACGCACACAATGGAATGTGTAGAAACCGACAATGGGCAGAATGTTAGCTGTTTATGTGACAAGGGTGAGTCTTTATAATGGAGCATATGAGCACTGTAAGAGAACCACCTTTACATGAGATGGGCTAAATTTACTCAGGAGCACAGTGGCCTGGACAGCTGTTGTGACCACACCACTGCAAGCATAGAATATTAATGGTATGGAGGCAGCTACTTACAAACAGATATTTAGTACAGTGAAAGTTGTTTTGATATCCCCTTTTCAGAGACTGGAAGAAAATCAAATGAGAAGTATAGGGTGCTATAGGTGGTCACGTTACCTTTGGTTTTGTTCATTCAAAATAGATTAAAACAGAAATTAATAATATTTAGTAGGGACAACATTCCTAATCAGTTTTACTTGATCCATAGTTCTTCTTTAAATTAAAAAATTATCTTTGTTTTAGTTTTAATTTCATGGAACAATATCTTACTGCTTTAGCATAAAAAAAGAAATAGACAAAAGGGGATTGAAATAAATTGAAACCCTACAGTATATCTATCTATATAGAGGCAAATAAAACAGAAGTATAATCATTTCAATCACAATTGTAGAAATCGAAGAGAATAAGGAGGGGTTTTCTTAATTAGAAGTTCTGTTAGAGTCATACCCTGCTTATTTATTTAGGAGGAGTGTTCCATAGTTCTGGGTAGCATTACCACAATCCTCATTGCTTGAGGTGTTGCGGTATTCTCAAGTAAAAGGAGGGGCATAAAGTAAGGCCAAGTCACCAAGTTAAACATATCCATTCGGGGCCTTGAATTAGTTATCAGAAAATCAGATACTAAGAATATTGTACAGGACATTTCTTGCATAAGATCACTTAGTATTAAAGGATGCAAAACATAGATTTTTAGTTCAGTGATTTACGACATCGATATACACATTGCATAGACACTTTTAATAATGGACGTTTTGTTAGAGTATGTACAGTTTTTTGAACATCTAATCATAGCAAATGTTTATCTTTTTAACAAAATGAAGATGTGAAAAGCGAATACAGAGACATTACACCATTCTAACCAATTGTTTTGTTTTAATTTGGGGATGGCAGTGTGGGAGTGGTTAGGAATATGACATAAATTCTCAAAAGAACACTGTGATACTGTACTCTTGAACATGTTACAAGACCTTTCTCAGATTCCAGCAAGCACAACTGTAGCAACGGGAATGTAAATAAAGTAAATTGTTGGATTGTAAGCAGTTTTACAAGTTGTGTAGTTTTACAAGTTTTCAGTAAAACAACAGAAGAAATTTTAAGAAATTACTGTGAAATCTGTAGACAGACACTGGGCTTCAGCTGTCCTCTCCAACCAGGACTAAGAACATTTATTACAAGAATGTTTGACAGCGTGATTCCCATCTGTGTCTTCACATCATTCATTGATGAACATTAAGAATTGTTTAGAAAGCTATGGGGGAGAAACAATTTAAAACAGGATGAGACTGTTCTGCTTACTACTTTTTTTAGAAATGAAACCCATAAATCATTTGCGAGTCCTGGATGCAAAAAACAGATACAAATCAATCAGTCAGCTCAATAAACTTAACTGATGAAGATTTCAGTTGGAATGAAATCCAAGACGCATGCTGTAACTCGCCCTTGTTTCTCAAGTCATTAAAATTTACCTGGTGTTCATAGGATTTGTTTTTTTCTACCTCAGTAATGTGGTAAAGTTAAGGTATTTCTTTATTTGGATAATAATATTGAGACTAAAGTTTGTCATACATTAAGGTATGTGCTGTTAAACATGACAGTCATTCTAGTATTGTATTTAATAATTTTAATTTACAGATACAGATTTTTAAAAAATGTATAATGTGTAATAATACCATATATACACTCGGACAGAACAAAATTGTAATAAAATCAAATACCCAGTAAGGATGAGGGCGTTGGTCCCAGCTGTGAGCTGACTAGCTAGTGAGTGATCCTGGTCGGCTCAGGGGAGTCAGACCCTTGCTGTCAGGCATGACAGTGAGAAACCATGTCTCATGTGAGAGTAAAAGATGTAGCCCTTGGAAGAGGTCCAACAGCAGGGGGTTGGAGGGGATTGATGGAGCAGCATCCATCCTTGGTCATTTCCATGTTGACGTGCTTGTAAAAAGGAAGAAGGTGAAAGCATGAAAAACAATACTTATGTTCATACTTATTCTTTTTTATATTTGCAACATATATAAACATCTAACATACAGTTTGGTTATGTAGGAGGTTCAGGAATGTTACCCCTATGTAAGTTGGTGACTGCATTGCATCAGATTTGATAGTTAAACATCCATTCATTTTCCTTTTAGATACTAAGGGGTAATATCCTAGACACAAGGAAGAATGGGTTTTGATTCCATTAAGGGGGCTAATTACTTTCAGTGTGTGGAATGCAGGTGGCAGATCCTTCTTACTGGTTAGTGTGGTGTAGAGAACCTATGTACTGTACATTAACTCCTCAACCCTAGCGTGATCTGTAACCTACTGTACATCCTTTTCCGTTTCTTCTAAAATTCTAACCATTGATCTTCTCTAACAGCTTATCCTGTTTGGCCAGGGTTCCTTTTTTGAACACGTAAAACTAGGGTTATTGACCCAGCCAAGAGTCAGTTTGATCTTATTTCTTGCACCAGGAAATTGTATGTGTACTTTCAACACTGTGTTGAATGAATATGTTAAGTTATAAACTGTAAAAGATCTTAACTGTATATATACTGTATGTCTTACAACCCTGTCTTGGAGAAACCCAATCCAGCAGGTTTTAAAGTCATCAAGGATTTAATATTTAATATTTTGTAAAACATGCTCATGTAAATCGTGGCAATGTCATTTTTAAGCCAGAAAATTCTGTTGTCACTGAGGGTTGCAGTTTGTTGTTATTTTCAGTTCAAACTAAAGGATAGTAATAAGTCTAAAATCTAAAAAAATAAATAAATAAAAATAACTAACACTTATGTAGCGCTTTTCTGGACACTCCACTCAAAGCGCTTTACAGGTAATGGGGACTCCTCTCCACCACCACCAATGTGCAGCATCCACCTGAAATCTACTTAATAAAAGATTATTGTTTTAGACATCATAACATTATGACTTTAATTCTAAAGTTCGTCTTGATTTTTTTTCTTTTCTCCATTGTTCCTTGTGCTAATCAGTTATACACAGAGTAAATGTCTTACTAACAACCTTCTTTGCCATTCACCTTTATAATAAAAACAGGTGTACAGTACCTTTATAGAGTGTTTACTTTTGATTCATTGTCTCACCTTTAAAACTGATGATAAGGAATATGTTTTTACAAACCAAATGTTTAAATGTAATTTTTAATATATGTCATGATTTTCTTGAACACTCTCAGACTTGACCGATATTTGAAAAATGAACAGATGTAGCAATATAAGGATTTTGTCTGCTGATACACCTGCTGCTACAGATGATTGCAGTAGTACAATTCCCTGCATGCACTAATTGTACCACACATACGCAATGGTGTGTGACTCTGTTGTTCACTGGAGAGGTGGAGCAGAGGTTGCTGATAGGTGAAATGTTCTATTCAATCTCACTAGGCCATTGATACAGGGCATCATACTTATTTACAATTTTTAGCTGTTTAAATAGCTGCTTAAGTTGTAGAAATATTGTAGTATTGTTTAAATCTTGAGTTCATGTTGCATAATAAAAAATTAATATTATGCCTGTGAGATTTCTTGTACTGTATATATACAGTATAGGTCTGGTCTTATAAATACTGTATATATATATGTACAGTTTGTATGATAGATTTTTTTTTACAGCTACTACTTCTGCCTTTTGTGTATAAAGTCTTCATGAACAGTGAAAGATGGTTCTATCTCCACCACCTATGGACCTTTGTCCAGATCACTGGATAAAAAAGGCAGCAAAACCTGCACACGTAAAATATAAAATACTTCTCAGGAAAGTAATGCTCAATATGTAAAACTGTCCTTTGTAAAAACAAAACAGTCTTAGTATGGACTATTTGATTCCTTATTACTAGAGTTACTAAATATTAAAATGACCCTAAAGAGTACAAAACTAAAATCTAATTTCCTTTTCTAGTGCATTTTGTAGATCAAGTAACCTTATCAATTACCACTACTTTATTACTGCACTTCCACTTGACACATGTCAGATTGAAGGATTGTCACTGATTTTTTATGTAAATGAAATCAGCCTATGGTGAGCTCCCTTCTCCTCTTTGGTTCTCAAGGGCAAATTGCAAAGTATGATATGGCTTTCAGTCATATTGTTTATATATTCTCTTTCATTAGTGCTTTACACTGACTTGTCCTCCTATTGCTTCCTATGTGTCCTCCTATAAAAATGACTTTTAACACAGCCATTCTTCCTGTACCTGTAGGAGTTTATTGTTATTTTACTTGCATTGAATATGATCTAAGAATCCAAACCTTAAAAAAAATTTGCAATGTCAGTTACGTATGCATGAGGATTTATGGGCCAAGAAAATAAGCTATTTGAAATCTGTTAAATATGTATGCTGTGAAACCTATCAAATCACCTCTTTATCATCTTTTACATTTCATGGTGACCTACTTATAATAAACTACATGTAGTGTTTAAGTCAGGTAGAAAATGTAGTTAATGCTTACCTACTCTCCTTCCCAAGGCATTAATTATAATTTCTCATCAATGTTACTATTAGAATAGGTTAATAATACAAAGGACTAGCTTTTTGTAGCCTGCAAAACACACTATCAATATTGTGCATATTCCACCAATATTGAAAATAAAAACATTTCCTCATGCAACTTTCTGAATGTCAAAATTGGCACATCCAGTTATTAACAATAGTAACAGAGGTAATAAACTTGTGTTTAGCAAAAACCGAATGAAACATACTGTACCTCAAGGAAGATCTAGTTTTACAGGGATGGGAATTTTTATTTTGAATTTAAAAAATGCAAATTTTGAATTTGCTCATCAACATTCTGCACTAGAATATGCCTGGGGATCACAGTTTCAGATTCTGGCTGTGCAACGGGACTGCTGTCTGCATTCTG